GTGCAGCTACAGGTGGCAGTAAGGGCAGTGCAGCTACAGGCAGCAGTGGGGACAGTGCAGCTACAGGTGGCAGTAAGGGCAGTGCAGCTACGGCAGGGAAAGACACAATTCTTTGAGAACAGCAAGAGGAAGTATGGAAAAGGGACCAGAGAAAGAAATGCCAATGATGTCAAGACAAAAGACTAGTTCAACCTCCTGGAAACATGTGCCAAAGGTACGGTTGGAGATGAGTCTCCAGGATCAGGTTCATCAGCCACGCAAAGACAAGAGATTCCATGATCAGGGACACAGAATGTCATGGGTGAGCTGTTGTACTCATTACCGAAGCATTGCAAACAGCTACCTGCACTTTAACAAACTGGTCTGGAATATCTTGGACTGTGGATGAGTGCACATACAATGCCCCTGAGTCTGCTTGTTCTTTATCTCTAAGTAAGGATATTTAACTCCTTCTGCACTGTGGCACATGGACTAGAACTAAATAGATCCTCCTTCCAAAATTGAACAAAGCTGTTGCTAGGCTTTCCCATATCTTTTCCAGAAATCTTGATCAAGTCATTGATTCTGAAGGCACTTGACTCTGCCTGGGATATATTTGGCATGACAGAATGTAGTCTGATCTGTCCTTTGAAATGCCTGGCTGCTAACCTGATTATTGTGCCCTTGCTTTGTAATTCTAGATACCTCAATAAACCCATGGACACCCAAATAACACTTCAGTGACTGTGAATGTCTGCAGGTTGCCGTGTAAAATATAAGTGAGAACTCAGCTGTTGCACAGAACACTCAAATACATTCCCACAGTCAATATCTTTTATTAACTGCTTCTATCCCATGTTAATTTATTTTACAGCACTCATAGGAGGTCAGTATCACTGGTAAGGTCAGCATTTATGTCTAACTGACCTTGAGAAGATGATGGTGAGCTGACTTTTTGAACTCCTGCAATCTTTTTGGAACAGCAACACTCATAGCGCTGGTTCAGAATGGAGTTCTAGGATTTTGTCCCCATTACAGTGAAGAAACAGTGATAGAAATTGAATCAGGATGGTCTGCAACTTGGAAGGGAACCTGAAGATGGTGGTGTTCCCATGCATCTTTGTTCTTCAAGCTGGTAGATGTTGTGGATTTAGAAGGTGCTGGCAAAGGAAGTTTGACAAGTTTTGCAGAAGTGCATCTTTTTGATGATATACATGCTGCTACCATGTCCAGGTGAAGGGTGAGCTTCTTAAGTGTTATTGATGCCATACTCACCCAGGTAAGTAAAGAGTATTCCATCACAATCCTGATTTGCACTTTGAGGATGGTGGATGGGCACTGGGGACAGGAGAGATGAGTTATGTCACAGGAGTCCCAGCCTCTGACTATTCCTACATCCACAGTATTTATGTAGATGCTATGAGGTAAGTTTCTGGTCAATGGTAACCTCCAGGATGTTGCCAGTGGGGGATGCAGTGATGGTAGTGCAGTTGAACATCACGGGAAGATGGTTAGATTCTCTCTACTTTGGAGAAGGCCACTGTTTTCCAACTGTAAAAGACCAAAGGCAGCAGATACATGGGGTCACCACCATGTACAAGTTCCCCTCCCAACCACGCATTGTCCTGACTTGGAACAATGTTAGAATCCTTTATCGTGTTTCAGGGTCAAAACCTGGAACTCCCTTCCTAACAGTGGGTGAACCTACACCACACGAACTGCAGCAGTTCAAAAACACAGCTCAGTACCTGCTCAAGGACAATGAAGGGTGGGCAATAAATGCTGGCCTTGTCAACAATATTCACATCCCATGAGCAAGTCTTAAAAATAAACTTTTGTTGACATTCTTTCTTTATATAACCAGAGATCTGTCAGCCTCACCAACATTCTAAAGTCAACAGTCCTGACATTCAACAGGGCTTTCTGCAGGCTTCACCTTCACTTCATAGGAAGACTAGTAAAAATGCTTGGGAAATGATTTGAAGGGATGTTTGAGTCAGTTTTACAGGAGTTTCACCAGCCTTTCACCGGAGATGTAACAAAGCCTTCAGAAACTGAGAGTCCTCTGGTTTTAATTCTATCAGATAGCCTGTTTTTATCTTATATATGCCTTCAGATAAAAACAAAACAAATAGCAATGGATTTGACCCATGGGAAATTATATTACACAGTGTAAATGTTTAACAACATTTGACTTTTGTTTTACCTAACAGAAGTCTCAAAGCGATCCTTTTCACTTCTTACATTAAACAAACATTTATTAATGCTGTATTATAAGTCTGTCTTTGCAAACTGAGTGGGGCATCTGAGTATTTTTCTTTAAATTAAATAAATGCAATTACATATTTGCCACTGTTTGACCTTTGATGTAATACAGAAGGGACTCCTGCCCGAGATCAAAATGATAGCTACCGATATGTGAAAAGAAATTGAAGCTGGTCACATAAATTTTGTAATGCAAGAACAAATTTAGCAAATACTTCATTTGAGTTAAAAGGTAATGCACACACCAAATAAACCACCAGCATACACTGCATAAAAGTGGGTAATAGAACACAGAACATAGAACATAGAACAGTACAGCACAGTACAGGCCCTTTGGCCCACGAAGTTGTGCCGACCTATTATCCTACTAAGATCAATCAACCCTGCATACCCTACATTTTACTATCCTCCATGTGCCTATCCAAGAGTCACTTAAAAGTCTCTAAAGTATCTGATTCCACTACCACTGCCGGCAGCGCATTCCACACTCCCACCACTCTCTGTGTGAAGAACCTACCTCTGACATCTCCCCTATACCTTCTTCTAATCACCTTAAAATTATGCCCCCTCATAATAGTCATTTCCGCCAATTATGATTTCTGTTGAGACCAATATTTTAAACAGAAATTCCAACATTTAACTTCTATAGCAAGCAAGGCCCCGGAGAAGATTTCACCTTGTAAAGACTTTTACTCAATCTGCTGATTGCAAAACACTGTTTACTAAACACTACCTTTTTTTACATTGATGAACTTATGTTTTAAACAATTGAATAGAATTTGCCTCTTCCTACTTGTAGTGATAGCTAAAACCCTGGATTTTGTAACATCATTGAGCCCCTTAAGTAGAAATTCTCCAAGATACAATCAAAAGTGATCCATAACTTCCAAGGGAAGTTCCAAGGGTTTTACTTGTGTTCTTTTTCCTTCCCACTATTGTCTCCCAAAGTGGGCATTTCCCTCAGAAGTCTCCTTCTAGCTCCAGCTTGGCAAACCTCCCAGCCTTGTTGCAACTCCTAAAACTCCATCTTAAAAGTGAGCCCAAGCTCGCAACCACATTCCATGTGGTAAACAATAGGGTCAGCATTTTCACTGCTTACGGTGGGGCCTGGTCAACTCTTTATTTTGCTTCCCATTTCCCTGTTGGTTACTGACCCTATAGAATAAAACAGCAACGCCAAAGTTGCTGTATGTGATGTTTTTGGATTCACACGGACCCTGTAACCTGATTTCAAAATTACTTCCTTCATTGGGACCCAGTTCGATTCCGGCCTCGGGCAACTGCCTGTGTGGAGTTTGCACATTCTCCCCGTGTCTGCATGGGTTTCCTCCGGGTGCTCCAGTTTCCTCCCACAGTCCAAAGATGTGCAGGCTAGGTGGGATAGCCCTTGGGAAATGTGGGGTTACAGGGATTGAGTAAGTGGGTGGGTTTGGGTGTGGGTGGGATGCTCTTCGGAGGGTCAGTGTAGACTCACTGGACTGAATGGTCTGCATCCACACTGTTGGGATTCTATGATTCTATGATTTATTGACTTTGCCACAGCAACAGGAAACAAATTAGCTTCAGAATTAGGTAAAAATGTTAATCAGTTATGTTTGCTTCCAACATTTGCTCAAGTCCTTGGAAGTTAAGGGTTAGTTTAAAAGTTCACAACTTAAGGTGTTCTCATTGTGGGCTTTAAAACTGTCTCCAAATTTAAATAGCTTGCTTCTCCCTCAACAAAACAATCTAAGTCCCATTTGATCTGAAAATTGAAAGAACTGTGGATGCTGTAAATCAGCAACATAAACAGAAATTGCTGGAAAAGCTCAGCAGGTCTGGCAGCATCTGAAGAGAGAATTCAGAGTAAATATTTCAGGTCAAGTGATCCTTCTACAGAACTTCCTCAGAACTGATGCTGCCAAACCTGCTGAGTTTTCGCAGCAATTTCTGTTTTTGTTTCCCATTTGATCTCTTTAGAATGAAACCACTCAGGCTTCCTGTCAGCAAGATTCAGAACAGATCACATGACCCATTTCTTTTATCTTCAGTTTGAAAAACTGTGTCACTTTCATAAACCAAAAAAAAAGTCCTAAAATATAATGTTATAAACCTCACAACTGTAATGCTGGCTATATAGAGCTGCCGTAATGGTGTTATTGTAACATTAATTACTTCGTAACAAAGACTAATCTGTCTTTAACACTGACACATGGTCCCCAAAATGGCTTCCAGAAGTCACATGGAACAGCATCATCAAAGTTGCTGTATGTGAATTTTTTTGGGGTTCATAGGGATCTGACTTCAAATTGACTTCCTTTATAATCTTCTACACAGCAACAGGAAACATATTAACTTTATATCTATGTAGAAATGCTAATCAGTTATAACTGTTCCCATCCTTTATTTTCTTGTGGATTACACTGGTATTGTGACTGGATGGTACTTATCGCAGGAGGAAATCACAAGCAACCTTCTTGAAATTTAATGAACATTTCCAAAGAAACTCCCTGATATAGTCATTCCTGGAAATATGAATGAGTCTTTCTAGATCATCTTAACTATCAATGCAAGCCATTCAAATCGATGGCTGGGACAGTGGCTAGTTAATTACCTTGACAAAAGACACTGGATGGTCCTATTACCTAATACAGAACCATGATGTGACAATTTTTGGGACCACAATGATTTCAATTTTTTATCTGTATATAAGTAGGCTATGAGCCACCATTTTAGCCAAATTCAATTGAATGAGAATGAGCTTTATTGTCACATGCACTTGAATGAGTACAATGAAAAGTTTACAAGTCACCACTTATGGCGCCATTGTAGGTACAAAGATATCTAGGTACAGATTGTTCAGTATAAGTTGTGGAGAAAATACAATGACAACAATTAAGAAATCCCAGGAAGGACTCCTGTAGACATTAGTAGAGAGAGGGAGGATTTTCCATTAAACTTGCACTTAGAATCCCTATAGTGTGGAAACAGGCCAGTCCAATCCTCCAAAGAGCATTCCACCCAGACCCACCCCATCCCTGTATTTCCCACGGCCAGATGAATTGCACCCCAATTCGCTGTGGGAGGTGAGGCAGGAAATTGCAGGGGCCCTGACACGAATTTTAAATTCCTCTCTGGCCACGGGGAAGTGTCAGAGGATTTTATTTGATGTGTTAACGTCACATGTACCTAGGTACAGTGAAAACTTTTGGTTTGCATCCAGTACAGGCAGACCATAACATACAAAGTGCATTAGGGTAATAGAACAGTGCCAAGAATACAATGTGAAGGCTGCAGAGAAAATGCACAATTTAAAATTTAAATTTAAATTTAAAATTTGAGAGGTCCGTTCAGAAGTCTAATAACAGCAGGGAAGAAGACTGAAAGATGGCAAATGTGGTTCCACTTTTTAAGAAAGATGGTAGAGATGAACCAAGAAAACTCAGGATATTACAGATCAGTGAGTGTCACATCAGTTGTCGGGAAACTATTGGAGAAAAATCTGAAAGAGCGAATTAATAGCCACTTGGAAAGGCATCGGTTAATTAGGGATAGTCAACATAGTTTAGTCAGAGCGGGGTCATGCCAAACAAATTTGTTAGAATTTTTTGAAAATGAATGAGGGAAGTTCAGTTGATGTGGATCAGGATGCAGGTGTCCAGCAGTGTATCACAAGGATCAGTACTGGGACCTTATTGTTTGTTATATATGTAAATGATATACATGAAAACTTGAGGGGAATGTTAAGCAAATTTGCAGATAACACCAAAATTGGTAGAGTGGTTAATAGTGAAGAAGATGGTTGTAGCTTACAGGAAGATACAGATGGATTGGTCAGATTGGCAGACCAGTGGCAGATGGTATTTAACCCCGATAAATGCGAGGTGATGCACTTTGGAAGAAGAAATAAGATGAGGGAGTATTTAATGAATGGCAGGACACTAGGTAGCTTCGAGGAACAGAAGAATCTTGGCTAATTTTTACAGATTCCTGAAGTCAGCAGAGCACGTGAATAGAACAGTTAAGAAGGCAAATGGGACATTTACTTCCATCAGTAGACGCTTAGAGTATAAGAGCAAGGAGGTAACGTTGGAGTTGTACAGACAGTTGATTAGGCCACAGCTGGGGTACTGTGTGCAGTTCTGGTCACCTCACTACAGGAAGGATGTGATAGCACCAAAGGGAGTACAGAGGAGGTTCACCAGCTGTTACCTGGAATGGAGAAATTGAGCTATAAGGAGAGACTAGATAGGCTAGGACTGTTTTCTTTAGAGCAGAGAAGACTGAGGAGGGACATGATTGAGGTGTATAAGATTATGAGGGATATGGACAGGGTGAATAGACAGCAGCTGTTGCCCTTGGAGAAGTCAATCACGACAGGGTAGTATTAGGGTAAGGAGTAGAGATTCAGAGGTGATTTGGGAAACAAAACTTTTGTAGGAATCTGGAATGCAGTGCCTGGTAAGGTAGTGGAGGCTGGAAACCTCACAATGTTTAAAAATATTTGGTTAAGCACTTGAAATAACATAACATTCAAGGATATGGGACAAATGCAGGAAATTGGTATTAGCACACTTTTAGTGCTAGTTATGTCAGTGCTGACTCGATGGGCCGAAGGGCCTTTTCTGCACTATATGAAGCTACGAATCTATAAAGCACCTTCCAAACCCGCAACCAGTTCCATCGAGAAGGGCAAGGGCAGCAGATACATGGGAACACCACCCCCTGCAAGTTCCCCTCCAAGACACTCAACATCCTGACTTGGAAATATATTGCTATTTCTTCACTGACACTGGGTCAAAATCCTGGAATTCCCTCCCTAATAGCATTGTGGGTCAACCCACAGCAGGTGGACTGCAGTGGTTCAAGACGGCAACTCACCATCACCTTCTCAAGGGGCAACTAGGGATGGGCAAGAAATGCTGGTCAGCCATTGATGTCCTTGTCCCATGAGTGAATAAAAGAAATCCTTCCACATAGTTTGAAGCAATTAATTACATTAACAATGAATTAATTATCCATAATTACAAAGTCTGTACAGCACAAAAACAAGCCACTTTGCCTAGTCCAACCTGTCATTTTAGACTTTACACTTTATACAAGTCTCCTCATCACCTATTCTCCTACCCCTATCAACATAATCTTCTAATGCTTTCTCCCTGATCTATTGATTTAGCTCCCCCTCAAGAACATCCTTGCTTTATAAGTGAGAACATGTTTGTACTGAGTGACTAAAAATGACAGTGGGACAATAAATTGGCTTTGAGCAAAAGGACATGCTTCAAGTATCCTCGTTTATACTATCCTGATAGTTTTTCAGTTCATATATTAAATAGAAGCAGTGCCAAAAGTATGGTTAGCTAGATCGTGGATATTGAAGCATGTGATTCACTGTTGGCTGTATTCTAAAAGAGCCAGCACGTGTGGCAAAGTGAAAATGCACAATTCTTGCAATTTCTGCAAACTTGATCTCTTGATTAGAAAAAAGCCACGCAGACCAGAAATGTGGAAACTCCACAACCTTGTTAGGGTAAGGGCTGATGCTGGCTCGGGCTTGGGAAAATGATACTGGTGCGACAAGCCATTGTTGATGGCCAGTGGGAAAACTACTGAGGATAGACAGTGAATGGGAAAAGCTTAGGGGGGATGGCAACTCCCGCTTTGTTGTTTTCAGTAGTGAAGTTAAATGCCAACTCCTGAGACAGTTCTCCAAGCTGCTTTATTCACCCAATGCTACTCCCACTACAATCCATGTAGTAAAAGCAAAAGTGGAACAAATTCCAGTTGAGTCAGAGTAAACACAACAAATGCAACATTATTGTTATTGTTCATTACTGGAGCAAGGAAGACAAAAATATATAGTTTGAAATCTCATTGTGCTTGTGATTGAGAAACCATTAAATTGAACCAAACAGGCAAACAGACTCTTTAAAAATGGAACAGGAGCCCATATTTACCCTTATTTTCACCTTAAACACTGTAACTTTAAACTGATTGTGGCTGTGCATGAAGAACAACCTTGATTGACCTCCCATTTGTAACATTCTGCAATCATTAACTCAGATACGAAATTACTTTAAAACTATGTATAAGGCATATGATTGTACACATATCAAAAAGTGGCTTCATAAATGACATTCTTTCTCAAATGCATCCCGCATTTCTTTTTTCTCTGAATGAATTACTGCATCTAAGGAGCTAAATAAATGCAAGTGGTTGTCCTTGAAAGGGCATCCATTCTATAATTACAGAACTTGCTCTAAAGTGTTTCAGCCAACATCTGTAAAGTAGCTTCACAAACTACTTATAGATTAGTTATACAACATATATTGTACTAGAAGTTTATTCACGTACCTCCAGCGTACATAACAGCCAATGTTGTTGAAGAGATCCATGCGATCTGACTGTATGAGGTGTCAAAGATATCCTGAATCTCCTTAAAGAACACAGTTATGGCTTTGGGAAATGCATAAGAAAATCCAATCGAGACAAAAGCTGCTATGACCACTGCCCAGCCCCAACCACCATCTGGGGGGACATATTCCTGTGATGATGCTGGTGGTGGCATCTTAGACTTCTTGCTCTTGGTTGACTGGAAGAAGCAAAGGAAAAATCATTTTACAATGCAGGACACATAAAATATTAAAGAAAATCCTATTGATCTTGTCTAGAAGTCAAACCTGTGTGCACTTCTAAATGTTCAAGAGGTTTCCTCCAGATAACCTTTACAGAGTGGCTCTTTTCTGAAGCGTTAGTTATTGAACACCTGATTTGAGGCTGTTAAATGCAAGAAGTACAATAATAACATGAAAGCAGACTGGTATTTTCAGCTTGGCATAGTTCAATATAAACACACACAGAGTAGGAGGAGACATATAACGTCAGTCAAGGGATTATCTCACTGTACATGCCATGGTTTAAATCACTGAAATAATTGCTTTCTCAAACAACTTAGTCCTTTCAGGAAATCTCTGCTGAAAACCAATGAACGCCCACAACTTTAGGAGCAGAACAGGGAAAATCCAACAGGAGGCAAAATTGCAGGGCCAGGCAATTTAAGGCAGCCCTGCTTTAATCAGTACTTTGCGCAAACAATTCAATCTCTCCTTTCAACTGCAGGTAAACTAGGAGAGTAAAGCTTGTGAATAAATCTTTGGACATGTGATTTTTTTCTCCACAAAAGGTAAATAAAGAAATATAATGGCCCGGGAAGTGCTGGAGTTTAAATAAAAACTGTGACTTTATATCCAACAGGACAGAACAGTAACTTAGTCGCAAGGTCAGCCAGGGAGGAAACCAAGTTGAGAAAAGAAAGCACATTGTTTTAATGTAATTGCACATTCATTTCCAAAGGTTCCAATCAATACAGCTCTGTCTGATCTCATTACCCCACATATACACACTTACACACAGACAACTTATGAATATTCTACAGTCACCAGCTGTCTGTTCTCCACTCATGCTCATTAACAAAATTACACGATGCCAAATGTTATCATCAAGCCCTGCTAGAGGTGACCTTCCTTGGTAATATTCAAGGTTTGGCAGCAGTTTGTGCTCTGCTAATTGTACAGGAGCAAGGAATCATCTTGCTAGTCAGGCATGCCATTGCACGGACTAAACAAATGTACGCTGTGTGGCTAGATCCGTTGCTGTGCTCCAAACTTAAAATGGTTACTGATTTTAGCGACACAAATAAACCACTCTGTTCGATTGTTCTTCTCCTTTTACCACAGGCTCATCTTAACACCCCAACCCTAAGCTCTAAGGGGAGGAAATGGCCTAGTGGTATTGTTGCTCGGCTTAGTACCACAGACCCATTTAATGCTCTGGGGGACCTGGTGGAATGTGAATCCAATAAAAATCTGGAATTAAGAGTCGAATGATGAGCATGACACCACTTCCAATTGTTGGGGGAGAAACCCATCTGGTTTCATTAATATCCTTCAGGGAAGCAAACAGTTGTCCTTACCTGGTCTGGACTACATGTGACTCCAGACCAACGGCAATGCAGTCAACTCTTAGCTGCCCTCTGGGGCAATTAGGGATTGGTGGCCTAGAGTAACATTCTCATTCTGTGAATGGATGAATAAAAGAGATAAATGCCCTCTCAATTAATACTTCACTTGTAGGCACTGAAGAAAAGCAAAAATTACAGCCATATGGCACATTGCTCTACCTGGACTCAATGAATGGAAATCAGGAACTGGGGCCTATAAAATCCTAACAGGCCTGGGCAGGATAGATACGGGAAGGTTGCTCCCGATGTCTGGAAACTACAGACTGAGGGATTATAGTCTAAGGATACGAGGTGGGCCATTTAGGACTTAGGTAAAGAGAAATTCCTTCACCTAGAGAGTGGGGAGCCTGTGGAATTATTTGCCACAACAAGTTGTTGAGGCCCAAACATTGATTGTTTTCGAGAAGGAGTTGTATATAGTTCTGAGGGCTAAAGGCATCCAAGGTTACGAACAAAAAGCAGGAGCAGGGGACTGAGTTGAATGATCAGCCATGATCATACTGAATGGTGGAGCAGGCTCGAAGGGCAGAATGGACTACTCCTGTTTCTATTTTCTATGCAAGTAACACAGATTGAGTAGTTTTGAAGTAATTCACTTGAAAATCTCATACGGGTTTATTTCACAGCTCAGACTACAAATAACAGCTATAGGTAACTGTATTTGTGTCCTGACTCCACTTTGCACCCCCCCGGATTGCACATCACAGCTCCACTTGTAGTTTCATCTGGATCCTTAATTCATTGACATATCTAGCTCTTCAAACAATGCAGCTCTTAACATCCCTTTCCTTTCCCAGCATATCATTACACGCATTAACAGTAAAATCTCATATACGTTAGGGTATTTGCCAAACTATTTACCTAAAAATAATAATTCAAAAACATGCATTAATGTATATGAGTCTGAAATCTGTAAAGGTGGTTTGACAATCCTATCAACTCTTATGATGGTATACTTTCTGGAGACTTATATTGAGTGTTCTCGGCTTGTGAATGTGTCGGAGTTTGTGTGTTGTTAGCATGCTGGTTGTTGACTTGATGGCATTCACACCTTCATTATCCCAGTTAATTTGTTTGCATTCTCGTGTATGTATTATGTGTACAGTTTGTACAGTTCCTAGAGTTGGCTTCTGTTCATCCTTAATTTTGCTCCATTTAGTGCAATGAGTTTGTAGGATCTAGGTTCACTGCACCTTTTGGATAACTCTCTGGATGACAATACTCCCTGTGCAGACAGTATAATTCTGACCTTAGATTAAGCAGGTCTGCACCTGCATATGGATCATGCACCATCTTCATTTTTCCTTATTTTTCTAAAAGTTTGTTTTGTATCTTTTGAACAGGTGATGTGTTGACAGGATTGTCCTATCTTGCTTTTCAGACATGAGCTCTGGTGATGATAGCAAAACCCATGTTCAGAAATGTAGTCATTCTTGTATCAGATAATTTGTGGCTGACATTAAAGTCATATCCTTGTCCATTTACCAGAACTTGTGTAAACTAAATGGTGTACTTGCCAATGATTTGCGTCAAATTATTTTCAATGGCTTGCGATTGGTTTCCAGGGTGATTTCCACCGCGATAGGAGAGTCTAGAATCCTGTGTTACTGAATATTGCAGCATGTGTTTTAACTCTCTGTGTTGGAATAGTTGTATTACAATTGCAACAAGCTTTTGAATCCAAATGCAATTGGTTTGTAACCTTGCATGGTACATATTTCTGGTTCTTTATGAGGCACTTCAATTTCCAGGATTGTCTTCTTCTTTGGGTTAGAAACGTAGGATACAAGTTGTTGCTGACAACCCTTGTGTGAATGATTCAAACATTTGTTGATGATCCTCCCGCCATACATTTGGAACGTCTTTCTGTAAGAGTTCTCTAAAGGTTAATATGATGTCAGAAAAGTTTGGCATGCGTGGTGCCTGAGACACCTCTGAGACATCTCTGCAGGTCTTCATTTTCTTGAGAAATAGGCAAGTGTCCTCCATCTTTAGGTTTGGGATTCTATAACTTGAGCAAACAAAAGATTTGATTTAACCACATTCACATGATACTTTTTATTATTGAAGATGAGTCCTTCATGATGATCTATCACCATCAGTGACTACAGAATTTGGTTGTTCTGTTCTTTGGTTTTGTCCATTACCAGACTATCATCAGCTATAGTTACCCATTCAGGAATATTTTCTGTCCATGTTCCAATGCAACAGATCCTGACTGGCAGACAGATTGAAGGGTAGTGTCTGGAATCAGATGGTATTCTGAAAATAGTGATTTCTTAGGGATCCTAATTTTTGAACTGCCCAATATTCATGTTTGGCATCCAACTTCGAGAAGAATTTAGTTCCTGCAAATTTGGGAACCAAAACCTCTAACATTGGAATTTTGAGTTAGCATTTCATTAGAGAATGATTTTGGTGTCTTAGGTCTAAACATATTGTGGCTTTGCCAACTTTCTTTAGCACACATGTAATAGAACTGCACCAGTTTATGTATTGATACACATGATGTATGATACATTACATTCTATATTACCAGCTCATTTTTAAACTTCCCTTGAATGTTCACTCTGCACTTTCTCTGATGGTTAATTGACGGAATTATATCTCAGATGTACAATATGGCCTCACCTTTGAATCTCCTATAGTGTCCAATCTGTTTTGATATAATTATTATAAGTCCTAGAATAACTCAGTGTGAGTATTCTTGATCTCTTCAGCTGCAAGTGGTATCTTGGTGATCCCATGGTTGGCCACAATATTGAAATTTGTGCACGTTGGTAATCCTGCCATTGCTGATCTACTCTTTTCCACAATATTTATGGTAAACATGCAGAATTGTACTGTCAGCACATTGATGCAAGAGATGGATGTCCCATTAAAAGCAACATTAATTTTGCTGATGTAGGTTACACCATTGATCTACGATCCAGATATTTTCCGTTCATCCTGTAGAAAATGCCCACACCACTGAGAAGCTTGTTCTTGACAAGATGAAGAATGGTGGTGACACTCATTGCCATCATGTTGTTCATGCCATTTGTCTGACTGTATCCTGTTGTCCCTCTGTCCATAACTTTGGAATCACATACCACTTTCGAAGACCTTGTAATGCAGGATAGTATTGTGATGGGTATAACAGACGACACTTTCCACAAAACTCGCTTGCTTTCAGTCTCCTAACTATTGTGCCAATACTTGTTACTACACCTAATGCTTGCAGATGCTATTGTCTGGTTAAAATGCCTTCACATTTTCTACCGTTGTTAAGCAACATATCAATGTAGTGATGTTTCATTTTCTCCAAGAGGTATTTTTAGAAAGCTTTGATAGATGTTGAAGTTATAACTAGCTCCATTATCTGCTCAGGCAACTCAGCCTCAGAAAAATCATTCATTTCCCTTGTCAATGCATCTACTGTCAAACTGATTAAATTAATTCTCGGGACTGTTGCTGTGTAAGGCACCAGCTCTCAACGGTGAATTTCAAAGTTTACTTTTAGATAAAACTGGTTTTCCAGCATTTTTCACAGCTTAGCAGGATCATTCTGATTCTAGTG